CGACCAGGGGGTGGGAGAGGGGGGGAGGTGCCCCGAGATCCGTGCTTTGCAGTATTGCCTTGAGCTTGTTTTTCTTTAGATCAAGGCAAGCTTACTTGCATGGCGTTCGCCCCCCCCCCCCCCCCCTCCCCCCTCTCCCCTCTTCAATCGAACACGAGCGTGCAAGTGCCTTTCGACTTGCGTGATTCCCGCACGTCGAATTGTTCTCGGCTTGCCTCGGACTCGGCCCCCCCCCCCCCGTCCATGCAAGCAAACTTGCCCGAATCCAAAGAGAAACAGGCACCTTCACGGCGGGCGCGTGCGCCCGGCTTCCGGCCCCGGCGCCACCGCGGATCGATCCTGCTGGAGACGGGCCGCAGACGGGTGGGGTCCGGGGCCCTGGCCGCGGTCTTCGGCAGGCTGCGCGGTTTCCGCAGCGTCGAGTCCCTCCTCCTCCTCCTCTCCCTCCTCCTCCTCCTCCTCCTCATCCTCCTCCTCATCCTCCTCCTCCAACTCCTCCTCATCCCTCTCCTCCTCCTCCTCCTCCCTCCTCCTCCTCCTCCTCCTCCTCCTCCTCCTCCTCCAGGGAAATGGCTTCTGCTGTCCCTCGATTCGCGCTGGTGTTTCCGCGACGTGCTCCTAATTAGATTTCTCTCGATGTGCATCGGCTTGCGCAACTTTACCATGGATCTATCCAGCTCGATCCCGGTCGGGGAAGGGTCGGCGAGCCATCAGAGAGAGCGTGCGCAAGGCCAGGCGGGAGCGGCGCTTCTGCAGGACGAAGCCCACATTCTCCGACGACGCGTGTCTGAAGTCCGGCGGCTTTTCCCCGATTTCGGACTCCACGGGCCGATGTCGCCGGGGCCATCAAACAGGAGTGGATCCACGACGAGAGAAGAACTCTTCCAGGGGACGCGGTCGAGACCCACGGGGCCGCGGACGGGAAGCAGTCACGCTGTCGGGCGTCTGGGAACGGGGGCGGCACAGCTTCTCCGTCGTCTTCTGCTCGGCGTTGTCCTTCTTCCTATTCACCGTCTCATCCTTCTTGTATGATGGCTCCTGTTCTTCCAAGTCTGTGTAAGATGTACAACCACGTGATGATCAGCATTACTTGTCATTACGATTCGTAGTGCTACTATTCGTCTTCTTCTTCTTCTTCTTAGGGTTCGTTTCTTTCTTCCTAGGACTCTTCCTACAGGCAGCCGGGGCGAGCTTCCGGAAGGCCGCGGCTGCGGCTGAAAACGCTGGCGGCTCCCCCCGACGAGAGGGTTACGGCAGCCTGGCGCCCCGCGCGCTCGCTCGGATGGGCGGCCGTCGGGCACCGCGCGTGCGCCCAGTGTGAGGGGGGGGGACTCGGCCTCCTTCTGTGGTCTCCAAACCAGGTGGTGAGACACCCGGTGGTGACCCCGATTCCCCCAACAAATAATTCTGGGTCGCCACCGGGTTTGGGGACACGCGGTCGCCACGAGGTCTTGCGTTTCCTGGGCCAGCCGGCGCTCGAAAACCACCACCCAAATCGCCCAAAACTCACCACCAGGCGTTCTCACCACCACGTTTGGGGACCACCAACTCCTCCACAGCCGGAGCGTGTGCAAACAGCCGAGCTGGTCCCCTCGATGTCGGCTCTCCAGAGGGGGCCGTCGTCGGGCCCCTTGGGGCCACCCAGAACGGAGCTGGTGCGGCAGGCTGCCCCCTGTGGCAGGCGGTCGGGACCTCTGGGGGTCGCGCACGTCAGGGCCCCGTGCGCTTTGGGCACTCTGGGTGCCCTGCAGTCGGACTTGACTGGAGAGGACACGCAAGAGGACACAAGGCCCTTCCGAAAGCCACATCGCCATTAGGAGTGCCAGAGGGCACGTGCCGCGAGGCACAGGGCGCAAGGGGCACCCTTGAGCTGGCAGGGTCGACCTCCTCATCAGGGCCGACTGCAGTGTGCCCCACTGGACCAGACTGTCCCACTGCCCCCATCGGGAGCGGCCAAGAGGGTGGCGTCCAAGAGGGGGGGGTGCAAATCATGACCGGCGGCATGTGCGCGGCCCAGCGGGGGGGGCTGGGGACGTAATGAAATAAGAAGGGGCGCCATGACATCTGGGGAAACATCATGGCCCCCGCCATGATATCCACCCCCCCCTAGTCATCACCCCCCTCTTTGCCGCTCCCGACCCCCGTGGGGCCACCCAGACCGGGCCGCCCCCCCCCCCTGGCGCGCCCCGTGCCCCGCGCGCCCCGCGCGGCGCGGCGCGCACCTCTGCTCGCGCCCTTCCGCGCCGCCGCCCTGCGGAGTGCCCAGCTCCGCGGTGCAGGCCCGCCCCGCGCGAGGCGCCCAGTTCGGCTCGGGCGGAAGGGGGCCATAGCAAAGGGGGGGAAGGGGGGGAGAATCGGCTCACGTAGCTGACTTTCCCCGGCGCCTCCCGGCGCCGGAGGCGGCTATACATATCGAGGAATGGGCCCCTCGGCGGGCCCGCGCCGGCCACGCCTACTACGCGCCAGTACCGACCCTTGCCAGGCCCGTCCTGAGCCTGGGATCGGTGTGCACGCGTGCCCTCCCCAGCTCGCCCACGATGGGCCTGGCCAGGACCTCGGCCCTGCTCCGAACGGACGGCTCTCTCTCGCGCACAGACGTGATTGTTGGCCGAAGGCCTACTGCAGCTCAAAATCGGCGGTGCTGCGGGCGGGCGCAACTGCACCCATCGGTCGGAAGAAGTAGGTAGAAACATGAAGTAGGAAGGCGTTGGCAATAGATTGGGCTCCCGCACGCCTCCTGAAGAGGAAGGAAGAGGGAAAACCACTCGACTCTTGAAGTGGGAAGGCGCTGAAAGTAGATTGGAATCTGGAAATCCAAAAATACCTACTCTCAACGACCGATGGGCACCCTGTTCGCGTCGCTTCACCGCTGCTGCTCCGGCGCGGGGCGGCCCGCCGACGGGTGGGAAGCCGCTGCCCGTGAGCCCAGAGGGCCCTCCTGCTGGGAGCACCCGCTCGACCGCAGCGGTCGCCACCCACACCGAAGGTCCACACATTTGGCGTGCGCGCGCTGGCCTCCTCCTCCTCCTCCTCCTCCTCCTCCTCCTCCTCCTCCTCCTCCTCCTCCTCCTCCCTCCTCCTCCCTCCTCCCTCCTCCTCCCTCCTCCTCCCTCCTCCCTCCTCCCTCCTCCTCCCTTGGGCCCCCTGGGGGAGGGGAGGAGCCCGGGCGGGGGCCCGCTGCCGGGCGGATCGGCCCTCCACATCGGAGGGGGCCTGCCACCCTCACCCTCACGCGCCATCACCCTTCCCTGGTGGACGTTCTTCGGTGGGCCGAACGTCTGGGCACACGGGCTGAAAAGCTCCACCACAAAGGCCAGACAGGCTCTGCCGAACGGCCAACATGTAACAAGCGAGGCTGAAACTAGGGCTGCCGCTTCAACGGATTGTATGTGGCACTGTCATATAAAGACGCATTCAAGCGGAAACATACACACATGCTCACATCACACATTGCTGTACAAACTCGTGCAGCTAAGCGTCTAGCATGTAGAAGCGCCTGCTAGAAAATATGTCCTAAGCGTTGAAGGCAAAAGCCCAACGCCTCATACCCAAGGCTCAAAAGCCAAGTCTGTTGGCTCAAGGTGCAAGCCCTGATTTGAACACTCAAGTAGGCTCCATGCAGGGTTGAACACTCAGATCACTACCGTTTGACAGATGATGGAGAGGGAGGATGAATAGGAGGACTATTGGGAGGGAGTGGAGGGGAAACGAAGCAGGATAATGATCAGGAGGAAGACGAGGAGGGGAGGAGAGGCGTCGGAGGAAGAGGAAAAAAAAACTGATCAAACTGGCGCCAATCCACAAGCAGACACGGAATTATTTCCCTTGCTGCTGGCCAGCACGTTGAAGCTCGCGCTCCGAGCTTGCGACGGCACAAACGAAAAGTCGGCGATCCCGGGGCTTGACACTTGCACGAAAGAAAACGGATAGGGATGCACGCGCAATTCAGAGAGCCTCGTGCTGCACAGTCGCTCGAATCTATGGATCGCGCGGGACATCGTGCGCCATCTGTTTCAGAAATGCTGACCCCCCCTTCCCTGAGACCCGACGTTGCGAAAAACCTGCAACATCGCAGAAATCACGACTGGAGGCCTAGACCTCCATTCTCTGCGGCAATCTCCGAGCCAGACCGATCTGTGATGGCGCCGGTGCCAGAAACTGGGCGACATTCGCCTAGTGTGCAAATGCAAGCATCCAACGCCCAGGTCTCTGGGTACCTCCCTCTTCCCCCCTGTCGCTGCCCCTTGGCTTTCAGGTCTCTGGCGGCCGTTCGGGACGGTCCTGGCACTCTGGGAACGCTGTCGGTCTGGCGCGGCTGCTGCTAAACATCCCGAGGCTGGAAAACCGCCAGGGAGCAACGAAAATGCCCAAAACACTTGAATCTCGAAGAAACAAATGAATCTCGAACGGTGTTTTTTCGTGACGTGGGTCCCCGGATGTCTGGACCCCTTCCAGAAGGGCCAGCCTCTCAACCCGAGTCTCACTTCTTGACGGTCCCAACGCTTGGTGAGGGCCCCCAGAGGCCGAGAATGGGAGGTCGTGAGTCTGTCACGGCGAAAGGAGGTCTGGGCCCTCCTAGTGTCAGCTTGTGCTGAACAAATGATGCCCCGCCCCCTCCTGGGCTGATGAATATACCCCGCGGGACACGAAGCATTTTTAATCACGCGCGCCAGGGCTCGGAGAACTACGGTGACCACCGCGCCGCGGATGACGGCAAACGGCACGAACGACGAGGAGGAGGAGGAGGAGGAGGAGGAGGAGGAGGAGGAGGAGGAGGAGGAGGAGGAGGAGGAGGAGAGGAGGAGGAGGGGGAGGAGAGAGAGAGGGGAGGAGGAGGGGTCAGGAGGGAGGGAGGAGGAGGAGGGAGGAGGAGGAGGAGGAAGGAGGAGGGAGGAGGAGGAGGAAGGGGAGGAGGAGGAGGAGGGAGGGACGGAGGGAGACGGGGAGCGGCGGAGGCAAGCGGACATTGGGCCGCCCCGAACGCGGCGGCCTCGAACGGCGCGCCCGCCTGCCGCCGGCCCCCCCGCCGGCCGCAGGGCGCGGCGCAGAGGCCAGCGCCAGTGGCTCCTCGACCTGCGGGCCGGATGGCGAGGTCGGCCGAGCTGCCGGGTCTCCCCCCCCCCTCCCCCCCCCCCCCCTCCCTCCCCCCCCCCCCCCACCCTCCCCCCCCCCCCCTCCCCCCCCCCCCGCCCCCCCCCCTTTCCTCCCCCCCCCTCCCACCCCCCCTCCCTCCCTCCCTCCCCTCGAGGGCATCTCCAGCCCTCTCCTGCCTCGGGGCCCGAGGAGCCGTCGCCTGCTCCCGGGGCCGGCTCGAAGCCTCCACTGCTTCCGAGAGGGGGCGCCTCCCAGGGGGCACCTGCCGAGGGAAGAGCAGCCTCAGCTGAGCCAGAAGCGCCCAGCACCGAGGCCCCGGGGCCGAGGGGGCAGGAGACCGAGAGGGGGGTCGGCCAGGAAGTTTCTCCTAAGCAGTGCTTGCACTTAGGGGTTCTCGCTCGTCTCCCGAAGGAACTGCTTGGGTCCGGCGGGGGTTGTCCACGCTGCCGCCCGTTGCCGCCTCGTTGCCGCCTCGTGGGCTGGGTGGCTCTGGCGAGGTTTCGCCACGTTGCCGCCCATTGCCGCCTCGTTGCCGCCTCGTGCGCTGGGTGGACGTTGCCGCCCGTTGCCACTCCGTTGCTGCCTCCAGCTTGCACCGCAAATCCGCCGACCCCACGAGGCGTGTGCGGAATCCCCTCCCCCACCACGCCCGACATTTCCAGTACCTGGAGCCTCTGTGCATCGGCCCGGGGCCCCTCCCCACACACGCCCGACATCCCCAGCCTCCTCGAGCTCCCTTGTATCGGTTCTTAGGCAGCCCCGGCCTGCAACATCCGTCCCGGGAACCCCCGCCGCGTCCTCGCCACGACTGGCACCGCCAGCCTCCTGGGGGTCTGGGCATCGGTTTTCACACCCACCCACCCTGCAAAATCCTCGCCGGGACCTCCTCACACCGCCAGCCTCCTGGAGCCTCTGGGACTGAGTCTTTGGGGGCCTCCCACCATGCGAAAATTGTCCCGGACCCCCCCACCCCACCCTGTCCCCACCCCGCCTCCACCACGCCTCCACCGCGCCTGACACCGCCAGCGCCCTGGAGCCTCTGGGACTGAGTCTTTGGGGGCCACCCACCATGCAAAAAGTCTCCCTGGAACCCCCCACCCTGCCCCCACCACGCCTCCACCATGCCTCCACCGCGCCTGACACCGCCAGCCTCCTGGAGCCTCTGGGGCTGAGTCTTTGGGGGCCACCCACCATACAAAAAGCGTCCCTGGACCCCCCCACCCTGCGTCCACCACGCCTCCACCACGGCCCCGCCGCGCCTGACACCGCCAGCCTCCTGGAGCCTAACCCCTAGCTGGGGATAATAAACCCTAAGGGATAATAAAGTTCGGGGTGTTCGGGGGGATAATAAAAGTTGCCCGCCGGAGCCAGCATAAAGAGATATCAAGAGGGCAAAGCCAAAGATATCTTGAGGATTGTCTCGGTTGAGACATCCTCAACGAATTGCTTGTTTCGCTTGAGACATCCTCGAAATATTGATCTGTTTCGCTTGAGACATCTTCAAATTATTGCTTATCTCGCTTGAGACATCCTTGAGGGAGGAGGAGGAGAAAGAGCAAGAGGAGGAGAGGAGAAGGAGATAGCAAAAATCCAAAGTTCAAAACTTATTAGATTTAATGTGTAAACGCTTGATGAAAATAAAAAAATGACATCTGCTTGTGTAGCTCACGTGCCTCGTTTTCCCAGGATGATCAACCCCAGCGATAAACAAGTTCAGGGCGCCAGGGGGAGGAGGAGGAGAAAGAGATAGAGAGACAGAGAGAGAGAGAGACAGAGAAAGAAAGAAACAGAGACAGAAAGAACTACAAAGAGACAGAAGGACATCGGTTTCGCTTGAGACATCCTTGAGGGAGGAGGAGGAGAAAGAGCAAGAGGAGGAGAGGAGAAGGAGATAGCAAAAATCCAAAGTTTAAAACTTAGTATATTTAATTTGTAAACGCTTGATGAAGATTAAAATTGTCATCTGCTTGTGTAGGGTAGCTCACGTGCCTCATTTTCCGAAGATGATCAACCCAGCGATAACCAAGTTCAGGGCGCCAGAGGGAGGAGGAGGAGGAAGAGATAGAGAGACAGAGAGAGAGAGACAGATAAAGAAAGATAGACAGAAATAGCTACAAAGAGACAGAAGAGACAGAAGGACATTGGTTTCGCTTGAGACATCATGAAACAACGTGTTCGCTTCGCTTGATGTTGTTATCTCAACATAAGAAGGAAGTAACCTCGATGGCGAACTTGTCCCGTGATAATGAAGTTCGGCCTCCGCGCCCCCCCGCGCCCCCGACCAAACTCTTATTGGTCGACGATAAAAAACTAACGACTCAAGGGGGGGTACATTACTATCCTGGGCATGCGGTTATCTTTGGGGGCCACCCACCATGCAAAAAGCCTCCCGGGACCCCCCCACCCTGCCCCCGCCACGCCTCCACCGTGCCTCCGCCGCGCCTGGCACCGCCAGCCTCATGGAGCCTCTGCGACTGAATCTTTCGGGGCCACCCACCATACAATTACCCTGCGACGTACCCAACCCATTTTTATACACGCGGCGCTTATATTCAGGACTACTCAATGCTAACTGGCATTCTGAAGGACCCGCAGTGCGCAAGGGGGGCACTCGGGGGTGAAATCGGCGGAGAGCATCGGGAAGAGGGGCAGCAAACATACAAAATGGAAGCACAATGGCGTTGAAATAAACACAAAAGCGGGGGGCGGCGAGGGCTAAACCAGAACATCTGTTTAACTCAGCAACGCGCTGCGCTAAAAGAGGCACATGCATGAGGTGCAGAACGTGGGCGGAGGCTCATCCAGGGGTGGAGGCGGGGGGGCGCGGCAGCGAACCCGGCGAAGGGAACCCAAAAGTGGAAGCAAAAGGTCGCGGCCTCGAGGGTAAGCAGGACCACCCAGTCACCGCGTGGGAGTTACCTCCGCTAGGCCTCCCAGGAGCCCACGAAAGTGGCGACAGTTGCGCAGATCGCAAGCCCCCCAGGGGGCGGCCCGGCTTGGAGCCCTCTTGGGGCCTACTCCGACCATGTAGGGATCCTCTGGTGACCCCCATCAGGCCCCCTAGAAGCTCTCTTGAAGCGTCTTGGAGCTCTCTTTTGCTGCTTGAAGCTCTCTTCAGCCCGTCTAGGGGTCCTCCTGGGAGCTCCTGGGGCGGTCGGGGCAGATGTTGGACGCCTTTGGGGCCAACGTGGCTGCTGAGAGAACTGAAAGAGCGACGTCCCAAGTATGGTACATGTATATCTGTATATGTATGCCATAGGAAATGCTCGATTTATACCTTTGATGTATGCCTTTGGAAAGCTGGCGGCGGCCTCTTGGACGGTCATGAGAAAGTCCTTTTTGCGCCTTTCTTGGCCCGTCTGGAAGCCCATGTCGGCTGTCCCAAGCCCCTCTTGACATGTCATGGGTATGAGCCGCATTGGCGCCCTCATCGAGCCATCTCCGACCATGTAGGGATCCTCCAATAGTTCCCTCGGGCCCCCCTGGGTACTCTCTCGGGCTGTTTTGGAGCTCTCTTGTGCTGCTCGACGCTCTCTTGAAGCTGTCTTGGAGCCCTCTGGGAAGCCTCGAGAACCGTGTGGCGCCAATTTGGGAAGCCTTTGGGACCGACGCGGCCGCCGATGCACGTTTTTGCATAGGAAGTGTTTGTTGTTTGCACCTACAACCCTCGTCAAAAATAAACTGAGGGATTATGTTTTCGGTGATTGTATGGTCGGCGCTACTCCAATGCTGACGCTAGATATCTGACGTGGACGCAAGGGCTTCAAAAATCCGACGACCCCTCCGCAGCATTGAAGAACGCAGTTTCTAACAAGTGCCCGAGAAGATCGATCGTCGTGATTTCCAACTGCGTTTCTGTTTATTTTTGACGAGGCTTGTAGGAGCCTTCGCAGCAGCCTCCTGGTCTATTTTCAAGGAATCCTGGTCAGGCTTTTGTTGTGAAACCCTCTGGGAGCCCATTTCGGCCGTCCCGGGTCCCTCTTCGACCGTCGTGGGGACCTGAGCTCGTCTTGGGACCCTCTGGAAAACCTCCCGACCATGTGGGGATCTCCCGGTAGCCCCCTCGAAGCCCCTGGGAACTCTCTTGGGCCGTGTTCGAACTCTCTCGTGCTGCTTGAAGCTCTCTTCACGCCATCTGGGGGCCCTCTCGGGGTCCTCTTCAGCCGTCTGGAGCCCATTTTGGGAGCCTCTGGGGCCGTCGCGGCCGCTGGTAGGACTGAAGAGCTAATATCCAGGACATCTACGTTTTTCCGTCGGAAATGCTTGGTTTTCGCCTTGGAGGGCCTTCTCGGCGGCCTTGAGTGCCTCTTGGATGCCTTGGTGGCCGTCAGGAGCAGTCTTGGGCTGTCTTCGAGCGCTCGTGGCCCGTCCGGGAACCATCTCGGCGCGCTCTTCAGCCACCTCCCAGACAACCTGGAGCGCTCTGAGCGCCTCTTGGAGCAGCTTGGGAGCCTCTGAGGGGGTCCAGGGCCCCTTCGAGGCCCTCTTGGAGCCCTGAGGGCCCCCCTCCAGCCCCCCATACGAACCAGTGGTAGCAGTTTTGAGCCACATATATAAGTCTACACCTTTGTTATGTACATATCTGTGAATGTATAGATGTATACATGTGTGTATATATATACATATATATATATATGTATATATATATATATGAATATATAAATGCAGGCGTTCCCCCAGCCTGCTCCGACATATCTTTATATATACATATATATATACATGTATATACATAAATAAGTATGCAAACATATGTATGTCTATGTGTATATGTGTATGTGTGTATGCATGCATGCATGCATGTATGTATGGATGTATGTATACATGTGAGTATGCACGTGCATACTTACGTATATACATATGTATAAATCTATATCTGTATATATATATATATATCAGGAGTGTGCGCCAACCTGCCGCTGGCCACGGAGTGGACGTGTCCTCAAACGCTCCCTGTACGCCTCAATCCTCACTACTGGAATCCGCTGGAAGTTCGGAGCCTCCGTGTCTTGTCGCGTGACCGCTTCGGACCAAAAAGAACCCCACAACGGACAAGGAAAGGCCCCACGTCGCCGAATGAGCGTTCCAAGACTCTCAGCCAGCACAGAAGACCTCCAAGAAGCAGTGAAGCCCAACACGCCCTAATCATTCATGTTCTCTAGATTGGTCAAGGATGCAAGCGTTCAGAACATCTCGGAAGCCCCATGAACGCCCATAAGGCATCCAAAAGAAACCCAAACGGCCGAAGAGAGCGCGCAATCCAGGCCCAAGGAAGCCAAAAGACAGCACCCGAAAGCATCACGGGAAGGAGCGCGAACCTACTACCCAAACCTTCCGACCCAGAAATCCCCCATGAAGGCTAAATGGCAATGCAGTAGCACCTCCGCGCGCAGCTGCCTGCACCGCTCCTCGGCGCCGTATTTTCCGATACCTCGCAACTACAATTCCAAGCACCGTGAACAGACATGCAACGCCTCCAACATAAACCGAACAACCCAACAGAGCCGAAATAATCCCAAGAAGAAGCTCAACACCATTGCCGGACCCTTTCGCCCATAAAAGCCCCCAGGAAACCCAGATGGCAATGCCGTACTGCCTCCGCGCACTCCTCAGCACCCGCGATACCTCATAGCTACAGGCAACGGACTCCGCACGTGGAGAACAGATGCGGCAGCCTTAGGATACTGAGCCACCACGTAGCGTGCACATCCGCAGTGCAATACTTTCTGTTTGAGGTCCACGCTGGCCAACATTTTCCCAAGACGATTTTGAGATAAGAATTGAGAACTAATGAGAGGACTGACAACACGAGGAGCTGTCGAAGTAACGTGAAGCTCAGTCCTAGGATCGGTCCACGCAGACTCGAAATAGTCATACGGTAAGACGCCGTGCTATAAGAAATCGTTGGGCGCATTGTTCCTCCATCGTTGAAGTGCCCCAGAGCTTCTATGGGCCCTGGGCTCGTTGGGGGATAAAAAGCTGCCGTAAGGCACCTGCTGGCAGGCCCGAATCTTACTTGACGTGCATGCTGTGTGGGCGGCAAGAAGACTCCCACCGTCTTCTCCAATAGCCTGCCCCCTCTCCAAATCTCCGACGATGCCATTTTTTTTGGCGGAATTTCCTCGATTCCGGCCTCGGTGGGGCCCATTGTTGGGCCCTGGGGCCACTCAAGCAAGGATCCAGGACGAACACATATCTCCAGGGAAGCGGTCGGGACCTCTGGGGCCGCGGATTGAAAAATCACATTGGCGGGTGTCAGGGTCTCGTAGCATCTTGGCAGTCTAGGGCACCTATTTTGGCGCATCGCGCCCCGCAATGCGCGGCGCGCGGTTATCTTCGCGCCCTCCCGCCGCCGCCTTCTTGATGGCGACCCCTGAGATCCCGCGCTGCGGCAAAACTACAACTTCGCGAACAAAAACACGACTGGAGCACTAGACCCCATCTTTCTGCAGCATTGTCCGAGCCAGATCGATCTGTGATAGTCCTGGGGCCCGAAATCGGGCGAAAACGCCCGCTTCGAAAAAGTTGCAACGGCCTGACCTCAGGGTACCTCCCCCTCGCCCCCAGGTCGTTGCCCCCTGGCTTTCAGGTCATAGCCCGGCTCTCCGGCGGCCATTCGGGACGGTCCTGGCACTCCGGGAGCGCTTTCGGCCTGGCGCAGCTGCTGCAAAGAGCTTGTTTTTCTTTAGATCCAGGCAAGCTTACTTGCATGGCGTTCGCCCCCCCCCCCTCTCCCCCCTCTCCCCTCTTCAATCGAACACGAGCGTGCAAGTGCCTTTCGACTTGCGTGATTTCCGCACGTCGAATTGTTCTCGGCTTGCCTCAGACTCAGCCCCCCCCCCGTCCATGCAAGCAAACTTGCCCGAATCCAAAGAAAAACAAGCACAAAGCATCCCGAGTCTGGAAAGCCGCCGAGAAGCGGCGAGCACGGCCGAAAAAACGCCGGGAGGAGCACGACGCTGCGCGTGCGAGCGGGCGATGGCGAAGGGGACGGGCGCGTCGCGCGCTCGCCGCGGCGACGTCGGGCCAGGGGCGCTCCCATCCAAACGAAACATGGTTAGGGGGCCACAGGCGAACCCTACCCCTACCCCCCACGATTTCTGAGGGGGAGGGTGGGGTTCACTTCGACGGGGAGCTCCCGAGCGAAGTGAACCCCACCCTCCCCCTCAGAAATCGTGGGGGGTAGGGGTAGGGTTCGCCTGTGGCCCCCTAATGGTGCATACTCGCGTCGTACAAAGAATCACGACCAAAGCTTTTGAGCCGTTTTCGGCCCGTGAGGGCCCCCTCGCGCGGCACCGGGACCGTCTAAGACGGCTCGGGATGAAAAAGTGGCCCTGGGGAGAGGGTCGGAGCTTCTGGGGACCCCGTATTGAACAACACAAGAAATCGCTTGCCTGTGAAGAGCCCGGTGCTGTTATTTGAACATAGAGTCTTGGCACTGCCAGAAGGAACACCAAATAAGGTTCGAAGGGGCTTTTCTGGCCACGGCGGGCCTTGTTCACGAATAGGTTCCCCGACCTAGATCAAAGGAACGGCCCACAAACCCAAGCCCCTCCTGAGCCCAAAGTGGCCCTTATGTCAGCGCCTTGACTGTACACCGTCAGCGCATGAGCAGCCAGGCCACGCCTCTGAACAAGAGCCTGCAAGCCCCTGCAAGATGGGCGCCGCCAGCACGCTGGCCCAACCAGGACCCGCGTCAGGCAGAGGGCGACCTCTCGCTCCACGAGACAGCGGGAAGGGGGGGAAGGCAGGGGTCTGGACTGGACACATCATGCGGGCTAGATGCAGTCGAGGGATGATTGGAGAAGACACGCGAAAGGACACAAGACCCTTCCGAGGGCCACACTGCCATAATAATGTGGAAGGAACGGGTCGCGAAACACAGGAAATGAGGGTACTCTTGGTTTGGCAGGGTCGACAAGCCTCGACTGTAGAACAAGCCAGCACGGGAATGCCACGGGTTTCAGTCTAGACCCTCTGACACCCAACTGGGCCCAGGAGGGCCAGAAGGTGGGGAAAGGCAGGGGAGGGCCGTCATGGGGCAGGAGGGGCCAGGGGCGGGAGGACCGTGAGATGCGGGCGCTGCATTTTCTAGCACTGGGCGTTTCGGCCCGGCTTCGGGCCCCAGGACCATCACTGATCCACCCAGCCCGAAACGTGCAGCAGAAAGATGAGGTACCGCGTTCTGGCCGCGAGTGTTCGCGATGGTTTCCCTTTTTCGCAGCGTCGGATTGCGGGGGACGGCGAGGGGGGGGGGAAAGGAGGGGCAGCGTGTCTGGCCTGCATGCTGCAGGGGGGGCGCCCTCGGGGCAGGCCCACCGCGAGTGCGAGCCGACTCCTGGAGGGCCTGCGGGCCAGCGCAGCGGGGCGGCGGGTGGTGCCCCTCGGGGCCCTCCCGAGATGGTGCACCCGCGGGGCACGCGGCTGCGCATCGGAAGGCCACCAGCGCGGCCGCCCCGCGGGGAGGGGAGGGAGGGAAGCTAGAGGCCTCCTGGATGGGGTCGGAGTAGATGGGGTCGGAGGATCGCGCCGCATCGCCGAAACATCGGCGATACGTCGGCGATGCGTCGGCGATGCATCGTCGACGTCGGCGATGCATCGGCGACGTCGACGTGAAGCAAATCGGGCCTCCACATCGAGCCGCATCGGCGATGCATCGCCGATGCGGCGCGATCCCCCGACCCCATCTACTCAGACCCCATCTGGGAGGCCTAGGGAAGGGGAGGGACGGAGAGGGGGCAGGGAGGTGCAGGACGAAGGCGAGGGCGCCCCATTCAGCACCCAGCCCCCCTCAGCGCTTGCACTGACAATGGCCAGACATGGTCTCAAAAAAACTGCCCCTGACATCGGACAGTTCTTTGGATCGGTTCCGTTCACGACGACTCTTCCCAATTCGGTCCCGTGCCCTGCTTCTCAGTACTTTGCTTGGCACGGCCACGTCCCCGACAGTTCCTGGCTCGGTACGAAGCCCTGGTTGTCAGCAATGCATTGGCGCATTTGCCCTGTCCCTGGCTGTTTCCGGGCTCGGTGCCGTGCCCTGCTTGCCGTTCGCTTGGCCATGCTAGCGCCTGTTCCCATCTCAATATTGTGCCCTGGTTACCCAGACTCTCCTTCGTTCGGCCTCGTTTCCTGACTGCTCCTGCCTCGGTCCTGTGCACTGCCCGCTGGCTGGTTCTCCAGTTCGGCACTGTTCCCACCTGCTCCAGGCTCGGTCATTGCAACACTTGATCTGTACAGAACCTGGACGTGCACATCGCGAAAAAAAATATCATCTGACAATGCAGGAGAGGCGAGCAAGCAGTTGTGATGAGCAACGCGGATGAGACAACACATCGATCGGAGGACACTGGCCGCTGCCTGAACGCGCTGTGGCTCTAATGGGCCAGAGACGTCGGAGTCCTTGCGCTTCTCCTCGGGCGCGAGCCGAGGCAGAGAGCCAGAGCATCTACGGAGGCAACTTATCTGTCGCGCTTCAAGACGTGGCCACAAAAGCAAGGCGGTGGTGGGCATGGGCAGACGAAGCGAGAGCCATCGCAGGCAACAGCGAGCCAGGCGAGAGCTGACCGTCCTCCACACCCAAGGGAACCGTTTTCTTTCGTGTTTCGCACGCCGCAGAGTGGTTCCCCGACCGCGCGTGGTCACCCGTCGTCAGAGCCATCTGACGCTATCGCGAGCTTCGGCTTGCCCTTGGCCTTGGCTTTCGGCTTCGCCTGGGGCTCGGCACCCTTGCTTTTCGGGTCGGGCGCGGCGCCGAACTCCACGGGAACAGTACGCCAACACTGCCACGGCCGCTGCGCATCTGCCCCTGGAACGGCCGGGAATTCGTGTTGTACCGTTTTCATAAGATACTGTCTCTGGAACATGACATGTGACGACGGTACAACACGGCTCCCGGAAGCGAACATAAAAAGCTGATCTGGGATTCCAAGCGGAACAGGTTTGGCATCTAGATTGCGAGAGAAGCGGAACCACACAAACCAAACACCGGCGACGGAACTGGACAGCCAAATCGGCACTACGGAGCTGGTAACACAAACTGCCCTTTCGTTTCCAAGGCCCCCTAAGACAAGACTGCGAGCTGATAGCCTTTCACACACGGGAGAACCCGGCAGGCCAACACTGCAGCTGCCGCGGCCCCCGCCGGCACGAGTGCTAGGCAACTCTGGCGCTGGTTGAATGAGCTGAGCGCGAGCCCCGAGGCCCCTTCTGAGCATCGAGGCGGGCAGCGGCGTTGCCTCTTACAGTGTAGCCAGCTGTGGCCATGGTACAGATCCGCCTCCACCTTCGTCGTCCTCCTTCCTCTCCCTCCTCCTGATCCAGCAGTTGCATTAGAGGCCTCCCAGACGGGGTTGGAAGATCGCGCCGCAACGTCGTTGCATCATCGATGCATTGGCGATGTATCGGCGGCGGCGGCAATGCATCGGCGACGTCGGCGTGGTGAAAATTGGGCTCCACATCTAGCCGCATCGCGGATGCATCGGCGATGCATCGCCATCCTCCGATCCCATCTGCTCCGATCCCATCTGCTCCGACCCCATCTGGGAGGCATACAGACATGGACCCACCTCCAGCCTCCTTCCTCGCCCCTCCTCCGCAGACGCTTCTCCCACCTCCGGGGGTTGTGGGCGGGGGAGGAGGAGGAGGAGGAGGAGGAGGAGGAGGAGGAGGAGGAGGAGGAGGAGAAGGAGGAGGAGGAGGAGGAGGAGGAAGAGGGAGGAACGAGGTGGACCTGCACTGCTGTCCGCCTCCAGCGTGGCTCGCCGGAGAGTTCAAGGCGCGCGGTCTGTCACCGCGCCGCGAGGCACCGGGCGTTGGGTCCTCCAGTCCTCTTGGGTGCCCTGTATCGAGTACAGCATAAGCAGTAGGCACCTCAAGCAATACATCGGCCTGCCAGCAGGTTCCCCGTGGAAATGTCTCGTCCCCCGACGGCCCCAGGGACTCACAGGAGCTCTGGGCCACCTCAGGGCCTTCAAACATCGACGAACAATGTGCCCCAGGATTTCTCACGGCAAGATTTCTTACCGTGTGTGTCTACTGACTTCAAGGGGCTCAGGACCCCCATTGCTGGATCTCCTGGGGGCGTGTGGCGGGACTCCTGGTGATAGCCGCGTGACTCTTGCCGAAATCCAAACCATCCAACAATCACATGTCTTTCAAGACTTCCGGCCTGGGAGGGAATATCCCATTTGACCCTGGGAACGGTACGGTGGCGGGAGGCGGCGAAGGACGCTAAATAATGACTATCGCCTTATGCCAATCCTCGCATCGCGAGACTTTCATTTGGCAGCGATGCAGTTTCAGTATAAACGCTGTGCTAAGAATATGTTGGCTGCCCTTTCGCCAACATCAGATGTCTGCCAATCGGTTAGGGCAACTGGTCGGCCCCACCAGGTAGGGCAACTGGTGGTCAACAGATCCTCGATGTTGTAAAGCCCCACCAGGAGGGGCTTTGCAAAATCTCAAGGGCATGTTGTGAACTGCGGCATGTTGTCGTCTTCTGCTGCCTTTTGCGCCGCGCGCCAGAGGTCACTTGGCTGTGAAGTCCCAGCCCTGGACCCCGTCCTCCTCCTTGTCCTCCTGCTGGGGACCCGACGTGTACCGGAGCAGGTGGGGCTGGAGGATCGCGCCGCATCGCCGATGCGCAACATCAGGATGGATCAACTCGGGCTGCGGATTGAACCGCATCGCCGACGCATCGGCGATGTGGCGCGATCCTCCGACCCCACCTCCTCCAGCCCCATTTGGGAGGCCTGGGTCCTCCTCCTCCTTAGCTGTCTCATCATTCGGTCCTCGTCCTCCTTCGCTTCCTTACCCGTTATTTTCTTTCGACTTTCCTTAGTGTCCCCCCCCCTTCTCTTCACAGTATGCCTTCTCTTTACTGATATTGCCATATCTCATGTTCTCTGTCGCCCCTTCTCTTCTCCTCTCACCTCGTCGCTGCTCTCCCTTTCTCTTCTCCTCTCTTCTCGTCTATCATCTTCTCCTCTCTTGTCTTATTGTAGCTTCACGCCTTTTCCCTCTGCTCTCTCTTCTCATCGCCTCCGCCTCCTCCTCCTCCTCCTCCTCCTCCTCCTCCTCCGCCTCCGCCTCCTCCTCCTCCTCCTCCTCCTCCTCCTCCTCCTCCTCCGCCCTCCTACTTACCATGACCTGCATTCTCTGCATGCGAAATGCTGCCGGCGTTCGCTGCTCGCCACGCGCGGGCACGGGGACGGGCGGCAGGCACGCGCGCTCCCCCGGCTCCGGGGGCGAGGGCAGCGCGGTGCCGACGGAGCCCTCCCCCGTGGCCTCTCGGTGGGATGCGGTCAGAAACTGCTGCTTCGCGTGCCGCGGCGGCCTCT